AATTTGCGAATATGGGATACACAGATAATGAGTCCCACCTGTACCGCTAAGTTATAATTTCCTAGAGGTCAACTGAAAGGGCATTGTTTTCATATCATCTAATTTGCATACAGTGAATTGAGAAGGGGGATAGGAAGCAAGAAAACCAGAGGCAAGGAGACAAAGCATCCTTTTCTCTGAATCTGGGGAGGTTAAACTATCTGAAGGTGTTCGCACAGAGGGCATATTTAAGCAATGCCTATCATTAGATTAATGCAGGAGACGGAGAAGGGGACTGGAGAAGCTGTCAGAAGAGCAAGCTCTCTATTACTCTCTGCACTTCTTTTCTGTCATCCCTTGCTCTTACCTACATCCTTATTTATGTCAGTTATGTCTGGCTGGCTGTGTGTTGAGGAATAAAAGACTCTCCTCCCTTTTCATCTTACCTCTTGAAGTTCTAGGCTTCATTATTTATTAAGGAAAGCACTAGTTCTCTTCCAATTATATTTTCAAATTCATTGGGGGAAAATTATAACCCCATAAACCAAGCCTTACCCAGTGGCTCTTTCTCAAAGTCGATCTTGATGGTCCCAGCAATTGCATACGCTATCACCAAGGGCGGAGAGGCTAAATAGTTGGCTCGGGTATTGGGATGAACTCGACCTTCAAAATTCCTGTTCCCAGATAGCACTCCGACAGCGACAAGGTCTCCCTGTGTGAGGCGAGAGAGGAGTCAGGTCACAGGGAACGAGATTGCCCCGGCGGCTCGTTTTAGGCCATTTGCTGAGTTTTCCCATCACCAGGACGTAGCTCTTCAAGCTTCCCTTGCACTGGTCCTTTCCTCTACAGGAGAGCGCATGGGGGTGTCCCTGGGGGAGACCATCTGTGTCAAAAGACACAGAGAGACACGGTCACTGGTTTCTGCTCATGAGGAGATGCCAGGTAGGTCAGAAGGCAACATCCTAGTTATGTTGCTGCCTGGGGCCTAAGAACAGGTGGGGATGACCAAAAGTTAAAGCTACAGGCAGCCATGCTGACTTACATGGATTCTGTAGTTCACGCAAAGCAAACCTAATGGCATTTGTCAACGCTGCAGAATTTATGGGACAAAACCTAAGCCCATGCAAGTGAGTTTAGATTCATGTGGGTGAAGACCTCTCTGACTTGGAACCAGTCTTCAGATTAAACAATCTGGAGTCAGAACTTGCATTCATCCCCACTTGTGTCCAGGCGCCACACTGTCTTTGATGTCCATTCTCCTCTCGATGCCCACGGCTGTGAAACGGTACTGTTTACCACCTCCAGTGCACAGTCGTGACCACGCAGGTAGAGAGAGGCTCGTTAACTTGCCCCAGGTTATCTAACTAGTAAGTTCAGCTGGACTTCAAGGGCCGTACATCCAACCACGTCCCCTGCTTCCCTAAACCTTCTTGAAATGACCAGTGTTCTGGTCACACATCATAGGAGAAGAGGCCACAGCTCTGAAGACCCACAGGCCCTTAGTTACCTGCGTGATGGCTTCCACCACAGGCTCAGGCAAGGGCCCGCTGTTGCCAATGCAGGTCATGCACCCATAGCCCACGACATCAAACCTAGAAGACAAGGCAGAGTTCTCAGTGCGCCCTCTGCTGGAACAGCCCCCGCAGAGCGCTGACTTAAAGAGGAGAGCAGTGCATGAAATGAGCCAGGTACAGTGTCGCTCCTTTAACGCGTTCATTCCCGGAGCATTTTGATACATTATTCATCCATTCTAGATCATTCCATTAAACTCCCTTTTGAGTCAATTATAAAAATAAGTCTAAGTGAAAGTGGAAGTCGGATATGCCACTTCTTGTCTCTATTCACTATTTTTATCACATATTCCTAAGGGTTTCTGACTATTATGATGCACATGAATAAAACCTGTCATCCGAATTAGGAATAATGGGGAAGCTGGGGAAACTGTATCTGGAGACAAATAACTAAAGTACCTGAGGAAAGAGAACATCTCAGCCAGGGTAATAATGCTTTCATACCAAAGGGCAGCTCTCCATGCAGAGCCAACGCTGGCCCCGGCACAGGGAGGAAGCAGCACCCACCAACATAGGCTGGATCCCTGCCCTGCGCTGCCCTTCCCGGGCACCTTCATATGATGAACCGCTAGTGCAACTGAGGGTCCTACTCTGTGGGAATGTGAGGGTTTAAGGTCACTCACCATCTGACAACATACTACGGAATTGGATACCATCAGATGAGCTTACGTCAGTTACAGGTGACACAGCAAGATACATGTGGAAGACGATACAACAAAGGCAACGGCGTGAAAGAAAACTCTCCCTCACCCCAGCTGAGACAGGTAAGGCATGACTCCGCTCTCCCGCAGGTAGTAGGTGACCACGCCGCTCCCAGGAGACAGGCTCGTTTTGATGTAAGGCTTCACGGTCAGGCCGGCGTCCACGGCTTTCTTGGCTAACAAGCCTGCGGATGGTAAACACAGACACATGTGGGTGGCTGCCTACTCTAGGTACCAGGGGCATTCAAGGAAGACACTGGCTCTTCAGTCTGCATTTCCAGCCCCTGCCAGACCAAGCCCCGTTCCTGTGGGCACTTTCTGCTATTTCTGCTGCTTATTAGAAACGCAAAGCTCACTGGCCCAAGTCACTCACATGTGTGCAGTAAACTCAAAAGCGGCCATGAAAGTGAAGAAAGAGATGTGTGTGTGTGTGTGTGTGTGTGTGTGTGTGTGTGTGTGT